CAAAAAAAATTAATGTGCTCCGCTCTGCATACCGAAGATTCACCTTTTTTTCTCATCGCATAAAACGCAATTGGCCAAAATAATGACAATGATAATCATGGAAATGGTGAATTCGGTGCGTAAATGAATCGTATTTTTCAATGGGAAAATCTATTAAACGGTAGTTTCAAAAGTGATTTTAATCTTCTAAATTGTGTTTGTCGACCCCAAAAGCTCAACGACATTAAATCTCAACCGAACCAAACGGCCATTTAGCATGGTCTACCAACTATATGAAAATTATGGCATACACAAGTGCAAAGAAATAACATTTATTTTCTTTTTTTCTTTATCACATTCCTTTCCACATTTGAGCGAGAGCAATTTCGGCCGAGCATTTGAAGGTTTCTAATTTATGCGATTAAGATTAGGATGCACATCATATATTTTACGGAAAATATGCTAAAGTATCGATTTTAATTTCGAACGGAAGATGAACGGTGCTACAAAGCTAGAGTGTTCGGTGTGTCTGTTGAAAGAACTTAGGTAATCTAATATCACGCCATGTTGGACACTGAAATTGACTTTTGGCTCAGAAAATTGTTTGGAGCTTTTCATTTATGCATATGAGTCAAAATGCCAAGCATAGCAATTGTCGAATGAAAGTCTTCGTTTATTTCAAACTGGATCGTGACTTTTAAGCATTTAACCTCTCTGATTCGCACAAAAGCTTTCTCTCTTCTTCTCATTCTCTTTTTTTCGTAAACAAAATGAAAGATATGCAAAAACCTTTTTTCAGTTCGTTGCTGATCCACCAGTTTTTATTGTTCGAATTGGTCGACGTAAGCACAATGGATCGGCATTTACAAAACAACTGTTACAACCGAATATTACGAGCATTGATTTGTTGTCGCGCATTGTTTTATTTCGATTTGTTTTTTTTTTGATGGTATGAAGTAAAGGAATGACACACGTGTTTAGTTCTGATGAGCGGAACTAATACAATGAGCAATTGAATGGCGTAAAAGTTAGTATACACGTGCTGTTACAGTATACAGTATAATACTGTCAAGGCTGTTCTAACAAGAATCCAGGGGAAAAAACAACAACATCAACCGTACATTCGAAACGGATTCCGGAAATGCGCGATTTGGCAGTTGACATGTTGAAGGGTGATGTTATTTCAACAATCTGAAGAAAATCTCGTCGAGCAGCAATTTATCTGGAATTTCATTTTTTTTCTGCGTTATTTGTCGCGAATGAGTTGAATGGCGTTGCCGTCCCCCAGTGTGGAGAGAGAACTAGAAGTCGTTGAGTCGCCTGCCACCAAATTATTGGCATATAATTACGAGCAGAAATGTCAGCAAATTGCTGTGGATCATTTGAAAATGTAGCGCTGCTCAGAGCTATCAATTTTTATGAGCGGCTCAATGATTTTGTTCACATATAAAAACGCTCCAAACTTTTCGGAGCCAATAGAGAGAGAGAGAGAGAGAGAGAGAGCAAAACGAGAATGAAAAAAAAACAATCCACAAAACTGAAACTGTCTACTGTTCAGCAAAGGGAAATGTTTGTGAGGAGAAAAAAAAGAACAGCACAAAATATTTGATGTGCTTACTCTTTTTTTTTATTGCGGTGAACTGAAAATCGTTGTTTTATTTTCTTTGCTCGGTTAGTTGTTTCATTCCATGATATATAAATGAGTTGGGTTCGCTTTTTTTGTAACTGACATTTCAAGTTTTAATTTGTGTGAGCATTTTTGCTCTTTTTTTGTATTCTCACAACTTTTTATAGAGTTTTATGTACGCTGGCACAAGAGAGAATTTTCATTTGATTTTGTTACTTTTAAGTTTGTGTGTGTGGAATTTTGTTTCCAGGTAGAGAGAAGATACAAATCATTTGCATTTGCCGTTTGGTTGAAAAGCTCCATTCAACTGAGATTATCTCATATAACTGTCGAATGCAACAGGATAAAAGTTGAGTAATTAAATTTCACTATGTTTTTTTTTGCAAAAGAAAATGTGAACCGTTTTCGTCATCCATTAAGGACGTTCGGTCATTTTCACAACTGCGCACATAAATAATTCTTGTTTGTTCGGGTATTAAATTATCGCTGTGAGTGTGCGGATAATGTGAATGTGTGTTGTCATGCCAATAGACGGTTCGAGATGCGTTCAAAATCTGATTTGTATTGACGTAATTCAGTCACTTGAAGTGGAAATTAATATTCAGGTGGAATAAAATCATTGGTCCTTCGCATTACATTTGAATTTCGGCAAAAAATATTCCACCATAACCATTAACTGAGTTGATTTAAGCAAACTGCAACACAAATTTGTTACTATAGTTTCAAGGATTCAACCAATTTGTTATAATTCTATTTCCGTCACAAAAACGAAAAAACGATTGATCGCAAAAAAAAAACAAATAGGAAGAAAAAGCCAGGCAATATATTATACTAACTGGTCAACTGAGCTGACAGTACGATAGCCAGCTAAATGAGCTAAAACAATAGCAGTGATTCATCATTATAACAATAACTTTTATTGTTTTAGCCCATTTAGCTGGCTAACGTACTGTCACCTCAGTTGACCAGTTAGTTCAATATATTGTCTGAGAAAAATCACACAAACACACACTCGGATAACTATGAGAAATGAGTTACATGTCATGTTTTTATCCAAATGGTCCATACCTTTTTTTATTCAATGCAATGACAATGTAAGTGGTAGAATTTGTCGAAAGTTCGTTAGTTTGCATTGTTGAAGTTGCTTGTTCAAGTGACAATTTGACGCACATATAAAATATGTGAAAAAATAGAAGTTTACGATGGAATCGATTATTTTATCGTTTTATTTGCTTTTCTACTCTATCTGACTAAATTCTTTGCACAAATAAACATCTCATATGTTTTTCAAACTTTGTTCCGGAACATTGTTGTTGATCTACTTCCGAAAACGCAAACGAGTTTCGGTAAGAAAAATCGCGATGTATACAAACGGCTTCCGATAGTAGTAATCGTATCATTATTTTTTTTAGTTTTTGACATATGAATGAAAAAAAAAATCAAATATGAATGCGAAACATGAAAGAAATGAAGAGAAAAATTACAACGCAAAAAAAAACTCAGCGTCATTTTTATATATATCATAACCTTGGGAAAAGACTTTCTCACTTTTTTCTGTCTTTTTTTTTAATGTGACATTAACGAAATTGAAGGAATGGCAAAATACGACAGGCGGAAGAAATAAATAAATAAACATCATCGAACGACGATGATTGAGAAAGGGGGAGACGTAAATGTTGTGCACACACAATGTTCAATGCTCATAATAATAATATCGTACATATAAAAGCATTTGTATCGGTTTGTCGATCGAAACACGGGCAAAGAGAAAAACAGTCGCATAAAAGAAAATAAACCCAAACCCAAAAGACAAACATATCTTGAACAGAAGAAGTTTGGCACATATGATGGATGATGTCCTTTGCAATTTCATCCGACCAAAAACATGGCACACTGTCCAAAAATGTTACTCTTCGAAAACCAATTGAAATATACTGGTGACGATGCCAAACATACGCAAACATAACGTAGACTTTATTCAGCACAACGCTGTGTGTGATTGTTAATTTCATTATAAATTGTTTGATTCCAATTTACCATTTCAGTGGCTTTTGCCAAATCAGACGCAATACCATTTGGCTGGTGAGTGGCAAATATGTCTTGATATTTGTTTGTAAAATAGAGCAAACATATGCGTGCAAAGCCACATATTGTTGATAAAATGTTCCGTTACCCGGACACCAATCGTTATAAGAGAACGAATTCATACGAAATGAGAAATGCAAAAGTAAAACCAAGCAAATTGTATAATGAAAATTACATTCATTGTACACTATTAAGTATGCCAAAACTCTTGTTTGCCACACATATTATGTTTGCCAGCAGCTACAATTCAATGGAATTTCGTGGCAATCTAACCGAGTATAATTCCAATGCTTCGCAAATTTTGATAATAGTTTTCGAATGACCAGAAACTCTGTGTCGAACGCAATAAAACTGATTGAAATAAACTGTATGTACAATTGTACATAGTTAATGTTTTGTTCGAAAGTCAATAAGAAAGTTTTAGTTTTGTTGGGGAGTTTTCCATTACCTTAGAATATCGGCCACTAAATGCTTCAATAAATACGAATCAAAATTGAAAGGAAGAAAGAGAGAGCTTTTCATTCAAATTTATTTAGACTTTTGTTCGCTGAAAATGGCTTTGAATAAATAATCAGTCACTTTTCCATTAGTTTCCAATACAACATTAAAGAATTTATTTGGACGAGAAATGAAGAGGAATAAAAAGAGAGAACTAACCATTACAAATAAAATGACTTTTGAATTATTTGTTCACTAGTAACGAAATGTTTATCAACAATCCAATTGCATCAAGAAAAATGAGCGACGGAGCGCTTGAGTAAAAGAAACGAATGAAAAGAGTAGATTGTATTCTTCAATACGTTTTGAATAATTGATGTGCTTTTTTTTAACTCGAACATTTGTTAGCATGCACACAACAGCAGCAGCGGAAGCATTAAGCTTTTTTTGTATTTAAATCTCGGCAATCCAATTAACATGAAAGCTTTTAAAGTGCAATTAAAAATATCCATAAAACGAATTTTATGTACAACTTCGTTTCAAACGTACCCCTTCGGCATCCTTCGGCGAACAAGAAAGAAAATTTGAATGTAATTTGTAAATGCATTTTTATAGCGATTTCTCAAATAAACGCAGATGTAAGCAATAAATATTCACATTTACGTCAATATAAATGTCATAAGGACCAACCAGATGTCAACGGTTCTTCCTACTCATTTCGAAGGATATATATATTGTTGCTCAAATGTCAATCGAATTGATGAACTTGTTTGATTTTGTGGTCACATTAATCGAATTCGATGTGAGCGTTGTGTTTGCTTGTTCAATAAACATGATAAATGTCAATAATGATAAGTACAAAATAGCTTACCTTCATGCACACACATGGCCAAAAGATGATGTGCCGGTGATAAACTGAGGACAGCTGCTGTAATATGTCACAATTGACGCTAAAGTTTCTGATATAGCTTTCATCGAGCTGGAAATATATTGTTGAATAATTGAGCGAATCCAGTCGTTTGATGAGGGTACTGATACCTGCAAAATGAGCAAAAAAATCGTTACGGAATAGCTCGAACACGACATTTTTTGCATGAATTTTCCATCGCATATAAAAGAATAAAGAAATAAGAAAAAACAATCATTTATAGAAAACGTAACTAGAGAAAAATCAGGAAAATGTTAAGCCAAACAAATCGTATAAAAGTCGGACAAATGACTTTTGACGAGGCAACTGTCGAAAAAGTGGAAAAAACAGGATGGCAATGCGCTTTCATTTGCGAAGAATAAACGACTTTCAAGAAATCGTTGATTTTGTTAGAAATGATAAATCAAATTTAAAAGAAGCGAAAGAAGTAAAGTGAAGATAGGAGTAAACTGCAACAATCGTCATACAAATAACAAGAGACAGAAAGAATGCACAGAGAAAACGAAGAGACATAAAGAAAAGGGACGAAGAAATGAAAATGGAAAAAACAATGTGTCCTTTGCTTGTGATAAAGTTTTTTTTTTTTTTTTTTTTCATTTTAATCGCTTCTCGTTTTCATTTGTCGTCGCATTTCTGTGCCAGAGGAAAAAAAAACAATGAGTGCAATGTCTATACGAAACTGCAAGCGAAGGATTTGAGCAGCAAAAAGTAAATGCATTTTCGCTTTTTCACTTGTGTAATTTCGTTGAGGGTGAGCGCTTGTTGAGAAATTACAGCTGTTCAAACTTTACTATAAATAAATAGCCCAACTCTCTTCGGTGAGAAAAAATTGAGAAAAAAAATTTATAAACCAAATTTCGTTTTATGTTTGCATTTAAATTCCAAACTCGAATGGTTTCTAATCTTTTTAGTACAATGAAACATATGGAATGTCCATTCTCAAACAAAACTGGCTTATCATCTCGATTTGTTGTGTGGCCATATGATCGTCATTAAAAAAGTTTTTTCAAATTTTACGACACTTTGAAGGGAAAAGAAACGTCCCAAGATGCGCATCAAAGGCATTCATCATAAATAAACTGATTGTCTTATCATTTTGTTTACTTATCATTTCGGTTTGGAGTTTTACTTTTTAGTTTAGTAAAAAAAGTGTTCACGTTTGACAAGACGAAATTTAATCCAAATCATTTAATGCTCTCTTCTATATTCAATGTCGTATTCGTTGGCAAATCGTTTGACATCCTATTGTTTACCTAATTTGACATCTTTTGCGTTGTTATAGAGTTTCCGGAAAACACAATGAGAATGAGTTTGATAAAATATTTACATAGGTTATTCATCACATTTTTTTTTGCCCCGAATCCAAAAACAAGCGGTTTGTATGGCCAATGTACAAAAGATCGATCGATAAAGAGTGTTCATTGACTTTTAAAGGTTTCTATTCGCTTGGGTGTAATTTTCGATGCAAACAGACAAGAAGATTTTGCTATTTTCGTATAAAATCGAGTGTGGTGTGTTGTGTTCATGACGGCAAATATTCAACGAAATCTAGTTTAGTGTGAAAATACGACGGTACTTGGGAAAACTTATCGGAAGTGAATTATGTGCAAAACCAAATGATGAATGCTTGCCGCTATTGAAGCGTTTTATTTATAGTAAAGATAGATTCGGATATCGATTCGCTTTGTGCTTCTTTTTTTTTACAGAAAGTAACAAAAAGTAATTCATTGAATGCAATCGGCTGAAAATGGTCGTAAAAGTGTATCCCAAACGTTTCCTGGTAAACTTTTTTTCTTCTTTTTCGTTGTTTTCGTCTTTGTTTTATGTCGTCGGTGAGAGTAAAATATTTTGTTATCGAAATACAATGAAAATACTTGAAAAACTCCAAAAGCGTTCAATATTTACATGGAATCGCCGAATGGATTCTCGCATTTCCCCTGAGAATGTGGCAACATGTAATGAAAAGCCACCGAATCTATCTATTTATAGTTAAACGGTTTCCGCATCACGGTATCGTATGCACACTTCAAAATCTGTGCATATGTGCGAGTGTATTTTATGTGTGTAAACTGATACGACGATCAATACATTGGGATGAACCGATATTGAAGAAGAAGTTTTATTTTTATCGGTCTATTAAATGTTATGCGTACATTGAATTTGCTATGGCATTGATGTTATATGGCATATTTTTGCGCTGAAATGCACATCGCATGTGGCCATTCACCAATCGATCTATTAAATGGGACAAATACCAAAGCTTTTTCCGTAATTTTTTTATATCCCACTTCGATCGAAGTGCTTTCAAGAATAAAATACCGTACTTCAATGTTGCCACTTTGATGTAGGTAAATATGTGCTCATTACATTGACGATGACAACAACAACAACATCGAAAAATCTCTATAAAAGGAATGCGTACGTGGACGTTTTTTTTTTCAATTTTCTAAACGTCAATTTATCTAACAATAGCATCGGATACTAGTATAATAGGAAAAATTATTTTCGAATCACTTTTACCGACACAAAACGTTCAATATGTAAAAATCGAATGCTTCAAGGGTAACATCAATAAATTGAACGAAATCGAATGACTGAATTGATTGCGTGCAAATGGCGCAATTTTTCTTCCTCTTCTTTCATTTTCAATGAGATTCGGAATTGAAATGAAACGCGACGTATGCACGCATCTTCATCGTCTCTTAAATGACTAACATTATAAATAAATGATGTAATCAAACTGACACACTTACCGTCTATCGTATCAAAATCAATCGTAATATTTGCTAGCTTAACGCCAAACATATCAGTAAATTGATGAAATTGATCACGTACAAGATTTAGTTCGATATTTTTGTGTGTTTGGATTAAGATCAACACATTGTTTATTGAAGCTGATGATGGTTGTTCGATTCCAGGCATGGTTACTAATTTAACGGGAGTGGATGGTGGAAAATTGGTTTTGCTGCTGGTGCTCGCGTCGCGTGTAAATAGATGCGATTTTTCATGATGATCATGCGTGGGAGCATCAGTTGCACGATGATAGTTTGATGAAAACATTCGATTCGATGACAATGAGTTGGATATTTTTGTTGGTGATTGTCGTTTTGAGATCGCAACTCTGGCATCTGATGATTGTGAACCACTGTCATCTGCATTCTTCACAATCGACCATTTTGGATGTGTTGCGTTGACAATAGTGTCGTTCACTTTATCAATGGTGGTTGAATCTTGGGCGATACAGTGTGGCGTAAATAATAAAATGAATGCTACAATTGAAATCACATAGTGATAATTTTTTTTGGGACGGGTGCTGAGGCGAACAAACGGTGTTGACAAAAATGAAAACGATTCCCATAAAATCTTCATATGGACACAGCTAACTCGTTGACCGTGACAATAACCATATATGCTAACGCTGTGCCTTTTCTTTTCGCTTTTGCACTTGATTAATGCGGTTATTTGTCTTTTTCTTTGTTTTTCGTTTGATTTTCTCGTTGCTCGTCTCACATTCAATTCAGTTTATTTGTCTACGTCTAAAGCTATCAATTGAACTTGGATCAGAAGCTCGCAAACACACGTACACAAAGCCACCTACAAAGCGTGTATACGAGAAAATGATGTGATATAAAAATAGGCCGTCAAAAATAATTTGATGGATGAACAAGCATCAATATTCGTTTAACTTAATATGTTGGTTTAATGCTTAATAGCATTAATTAGATCGTGTTTTGTTTTATTTTTGTGTATTTATTATTTGCCGTGGCTGTGCTATTAGAGATTATTACTTTTTTCCGTCTCTCTCGACTTTTCTATCTCTTGCTCACTTTTTTTCTCTCGCGGCTGTGTGTTTTCTCACGAACCTGCTCGGGGTGTCTTGTTAGATTCCTGTATGCTCATCATATCATATTTATTCATTAAAACGCATTTTCCACCAATTTATGTTGATGTTGATGTGGATGTGGATGTGTGATTGTGCTTTCGGGCATTATTGCCATTGAAAACACATAGACACACGCATTTATGTAAAATTCTCTCTTTTTCTCTATTAAGCTTTGTTTTATTGTGCAGAATAAATGGAATTATGCCGTTGCTTTTGCTGCCGATGATGTTATTATTGATACAGATATATCAAAATGCCTGCACATAAACGCTGCTTCTTTTAGTTGGTCGTGCGTCTCTCATATGGATAATTTTATGCTTCGCTTGTTTGTCGTTTAATTTTGTTAATCATAATGGATATTGCACGTACAAAATTTGCTCCAAATAACGTTTGCCGTTGCTTTTACGTTAATATGTAACATTATTTGGCATATCTGCAAAAAAATAGAGAAAAAACGTTACATTTCTTATTGAAATTGAATGCTATCATTTTTATGTACGAAAATAAAAAAAAATATGTCAGATCTAAAATGAACAATGTCACCAAAGTCGTCTATTCAATTTTATGCGCCAATATGTCTTTGTATCCACACTTGACTTTTATTAACTTAAGTACTTTCCTTACATCAAAGTATTATTTTTAATTCCATTTGATTTCATGTGATTCACGGTAAACGTATAAATTTAAGTCAATTTTCATTTCATTGCGACCCCACCTTTGAATTATATCGCGTTAACGAAAATACCAAAATCACCAACATTACGGAAAGTTAATTTTCGATCTTTCTTTGCAATTTCATTTGGGGCGATAAAGTGTGCGTAAAAAACTGAAGTCTTTCATTATTCAAGATGAGACAGCAGAAATGATGTCCAAGTTTAATCTAGCAATTTTGAAAACGAACAAAAAACAAAATAGAACTTAATTCAATTACATAAATTCATCAATTTAAATATTTTCTTTTGTTTGCATTTTAAATGTGAGCGTTATTCCGATTCCGAAATATTTCCCATTTTTAGCCAATGAACGAGCGATCCAATTTCAGAGAAGCGAAATATGCCATGTACTATGTAGATATATGTATATAACCTGGATGCCAGGATAACCATTGCCTCGCATCTAGAGCAATAATAATGTTCGGACATTTTTGCGATATCATCTCTCTCCGTCCCCTCTTCTGCTCTCTTTCCCTTTTAGCTTTTTCAATTTTCGTTTCCAACACCGATAATGTGATGAAACTTTAATCAAATCAAACAGTTTACACACAAACATGCAAGCATTACCATATACACACGTGTTTCAAATGCTTGGCGTTGTACGCGAACGTGTCGAACCTATGCTCCCACATAGCAGCAATAGAGATTTTCTTTGCCAAGATCAAATTGAAATTTGTTGACGTAATCAAGGAGCGCGCAGCTGTGTGCCTGTGTACTCCATATACAAAGTGTCATGCCATATACTATATAACTACAGTGACGATGTAAAGCGATAGCACTGCATGAAAATCAATCGCGTGCTGAAAATGAGGTAAAACGGCGATGATGAACATTCCAACATATGAAATCCTAGAAATGATTTCCGGGCGAAAATTTAATGTGATTTTTTGTTGTTATTGCTTTTGGCGTTTGTTAAACGAAATGATTTAAGGCTCACTGGATGTTCGTGTGTGTTTTCTTCATTTTCTTATCAGTTTATTCAATGGAAACGAAACGAATAGAGAAAAAATTATAGAAAAATTGATTGATTGAGGGATGACGTGGGCTTAAATAAAGCTTGGCATCTGCTTTTGTTGCTGTCACTATGTATCTCAGCAGCATATTCATGTGCCTTTTTATCGAACAAAGGTCTATCACAATACGATGTGAATAGCAAATATGTTGGCTTCTACGCAATGAACTTGAAGCGACTACATTTAAGAATATTATCATAAGAAGATGTTTTGTACACGCACATATCAGTACGCACACATCAGTACCACTTCTACGAAAAATGTGCCCCATCTATAATAAAATTGCATTTAATGAACGCACCAATTGACACTTTTCTGCTGTGTTAGCATTATATTGACCATTGTGTCATTGTTTTTCCTTCTTCCTCATGCCATAGTTTATTTCCTATTTTGATTAATTTATTTTGTCTGTATAATGTACGGCGTCTTTTAATAAAGCATCGTTTCCAGTTGCTACTGCTTATTACAAGTGACAATATTCATTGTATACAAAAGCTTTTACTGTGTTCATTTCAATTAACGTACAAACGATGAGCTGGCTTCCAAATCAAATTTTGCAATGATAATAACAATAATGTTTATTATATTGGCAACAGTTGCCCAAAGCTGGCAAAACATCAAAAAAAGAAGATTTGTACATCGTTTTCAAGATGGCATGAGTGAGCGTATTCAATCAAAAAATTGAATCTCAATGTGATACGGCTTCGGCGGAATGATAAACGCGTTGGCACTTTATCGTAACAAAACATTCTCAGGCGCTTTTTTTTCAATTATGAACCAACAAAGGACGAAACATTTATTTGGCAGCGCGAATATAGAGTACAAAAGAATGTAAGAAAATTAAAGAAGGCAAAAAATAGCATGCACAATGAACAAAATATGTTTAACGTGGCACGGGGCTTCACCCAACCCAGAGATAAGGAGGCTTACATTTTATTGAATTTATTCGTTGCATTATCTTGTTGCTATCGGTACATATGGCGTGATTTGCCCATATATTTTAATTTTAGCCAATATACCATCCAATTAAATGGATGCCTCTTTAATTTTTCGAAGAAGTAAACCCACTTATATTCAATGGATCATAGATTCAGATTTTGCGCAACTGAAGAGAAATTTCAAGAATTTTATTTATAAAAAAATGATTTTTTGAAAACATCAAATAAGACTCAATCGCTCGCCAAATTATTGGAAATTGTCTGTAGTTTAGCAGCATAACAGAATATATTTTTTTCTTTTGCTTTAGCAAAAAATAAAGCGAAAAAAAATAGAGAGCTTGAATTCACAAGGGGAATTTAATATTCTATTTTTTTTTGTGTCGGCAACAGAATGCCTTGAGTGATGTTAAATAGCAAAGTTGATCTCATTGTCAAAAGTTTATTTTTTTGATTCAACGAAACGCTCATAAATAATCTTATTCAAAATGAAAATAATGGAAAAGAAACGCGTAATCATTATCCTCATTATATTTTATCAGCTGAGAGAAGAATAAACAACAGCGTTGTTATATTTGATTTTTTGCAATCATCAACACCAACATAAATCAAAAGCATTTTCCTCGAAAATGAAGCCATCAACCAATTATCTCGTCTCTCTTTCTGCAGCGCGTGTGCGAAAGCGGTTCTCTTTTTTTTTGCATTCACTCCATCGTTTTCATATGAATTTCATTAGCAAGTGCAAACAATGAGCTTCTGGAAACGGATTTATGTATGCCGATCAGGTGTTTTACATAGTTAGATGATATTTATTACGCATAAACAGTAAAATTTCATTTTCTGCAGAAGCAACATTCATTTGTGCATAATTCATAATCTCTGTCATTAATTTGATGAAATTTTAAACATGTGATGAGGTTTCAATGCGGTATACATTGTTATAAAGATGACTGAGCAGAATTGAAATGGAAAATCCCGAGACAGTGTCGTCAACACCGGTAACATATACACACACATAACGTTTATTTTATTTATTGATCGCATCGTCCGTGGTGCATGTGTATGTGCAAAATGGACGACAAAAACGAAAGCACCGAGTTGAGTCGAGTTAATTTCAAGTCGAGCATAAAATTAGTATAGCTTTGAATGCTAACAAAATGGAAACGCATTGAACAAATCCACATGTGGATGATTTTATCAAAATGCCATGGTTATATTGGGTCATGTGTGCTTTGTGTGCGATGATAGTAAAATGTTCGCAAATTGTTGTAGTGCGCTTTGTGTGCCAATGTTCATTGTTGTCAAAGTGCGTATTTAATATACCATACAAGTAGTCATTTAATGTCACTGCTTTCGTCATTTTCGTGTCGTATCATGTCATGTTCAAGCGCAAAGCACTATTTTGGCGTGATGTTTTTATTGCCCCCTCTCAACCATCACAGCCATCACCACTATCTCGTTCGATTGGCGTTTGGTTTAGATTCGTTGTGGTTCACATGGGCAACATTTTTTTTTCGTCTTCTCGTCAGTGTGTAACTATTTCCTGTGTGATACAACAACATTCGAGGTTAAACCATGTCAATGGAAAATCTCGCTAGCATCTACAAATGATTGCCATATCAGCGCCAACACATTTGCTATCATCATAGTTTTGATAGTTTTCGAACGGTTTTTATGCTGATCAAACTTTGCAATGGATAACAGCAAAAAAATGCGTTGTTTTCACAAAGTTTCAACGAGCATAAAACCTAGCATAAAACTGTATCAAAAGAAATTCTTGAAACAGTTTCACTCATAAAACTTCAAAATAAATTGTTATACCATATGACCGATTTGATGTGTTTCTTTTGCGTAGCAAAAAGTTTTTGTGTATTTGGTACAGCTTCCGGTCGATAATCACAATATTGACACTTCTCATGTTGAATTGCAAAGATAGAAAAACAATCTGAATTTTGCCTAGAACTCAACCGATATAGATTAAAATACGAATGTATAACAAAATCAACAACATTCCCATCATTTGTCATGTGAAAAAAAAACGAAAACAAACTATTCAACCATCCAGTGCACGTTTCTTTTTACTGAATACTTTTCTGTACTCTGTCACTTTGAGTGGTGTCGGTTCGTTTTCATTTGAAGTCTGTTGCATGCGGCTATGGATATTTTGTTCTCAACGTTCCCACCTTTCACACTCTCCCAACACATATGCTAGTGGTGCTGGTCAAATATCATTTGCTTCTTTGTTTTTTGGTACATAGTGCGAGACAAATTCTAATCCAGCACGTAATGTTTGCACTCGGTTGACGTCGAAAACATGAGCGAATAGATAAAATATGATTCACGCTACGATATATAAATGGAGAATGGGAAAGAGCTGAAGAGAGTGACAAACACGAAGAAAACATATAGTAACAATTTTTCTTCTTTATCTTCGCTGCCATTTTAGTTTGTGTACTTATTTTCTTTCATCAAATAATAATATGGGGATTGTGATGACAAGTGATTGGCTTCCTTATGCTCATCAAATCGTTTTTCGCTTGTGTAACAAACTAAATACTAAATCCAATTGGAATGAGTCGCGTGTTTGCATTCTGATTCCAGCTGAGTTCTAGTCAATTCGGTTTTTATAGTGTTTACATACAACATACACAATTTGAAATGCTTTTAACGAGTTCATTGACGTGAATCACAACCAGGATGGTGTTGATATTGTTATTTTTTTGTTGTTGTTGCCGATAAATTATGCGCAAAGCTGCCAGCATTTAGATTCAG